ACATAGGTCCTGTCTTTATAGATTTGTTGTACAAAATTGAACGTAACCATAGCTCTCTGTATAATTAGTAAATGAGCTGTGTATGCTGTTGACAAAACTTCTGTATAAAGGGATAAGGTGAGGAGCTGGGGAGATGGCTCAGCAGTCTCACCTGATGCCCAGAGTTTAGTTCCCAGCACCCATGTTAGGCAGCTCACAACCACGTGTAACTTCAGCTCCAGGAAATCTGACAGCAACTGCATTCATGTGCACATAGATGAAGATGCTCATGTATATACACAGAAATAAATAAAGCATCAAAAACAGAGTTTGGCTCTGTTTCCTAATTTCAGCATTAATAGAATTAACGTGTATGGATTAGAGCATGGGGCTATATATTGATAAATAATTGTTCATGAGTGTTTACCCTTATCCACAAAGATTGTACTCTTAGATGTGGCAAAGGCTCTATGTAATTTAATAACCATAGTTTTAATGCACATATCCCCTCAGGATTTTAGCTTACAAACAGAAATTTTCATTGAACCCAAATAAATTACACTTCAAGACAGCCACATCCTTATATGCTGCAGTGCCTGGCTCCCTTCAGAATCAAGCATGTCCCTTTTTTCTGACTTAGAGCCAGCATCCAATAACTGTATAAAGCAACTTCATTTCTGAAGTATATGAACAATAAAGGTCTCCAGGGGAGGAGAAGGAAGGGCCATTGTTAGAAATGATTGATCCATGTTCAACGACAGAAAAATGAGTCTGGCTTTTGTTCTTCCAATTTTAACAGAACTCTCTCACTGGGGTGGGGCGGGGGGCGTAGAACAGAATCCTGAGGAATGTCAGGGAGCTAAGGCAGGATCTCTTCTGGTAGAGTCCTAGTCTCTCATCTCTAACACTTTTGCAAGCCTACAGTTATCTGTCAAGAGGTGTCACAGTTATAAATAGCATTCCAAGTCATCGAATTTCCTTCCAAGTGTTTCTGAGTCTCTGCCACTAGATTTGATAATATTTGCAAAATCCATTTGTGCAGAGGTTCAGTCAATCTATTGTCATCGGAACAGTGTGCCTTTGAAATTGCTTTGTTGGAGAGATGTGGAAGTTTAGAGGCATGAGCCGATACTGTGCTCAATACTGTAAGCCAAGCCTAGTGGGTGACTCTGGTGGGCACCCTGGGAAGAGGACGCTAAAAGTATAGAGTAAAGGAAAGTCACACAGTTTCAGAGGGGACACGGCTCCCTGGAAGCTGGACTAGAAGTCAGTCATGGCCAAGCGTTTTACTACGTGGTCCCTGTGGCCTGGGAATCTGAGTGACGCAGAGCCCAAAAGCAATGCACTAGTTTTTCAGGCAGAATAAGTGCTGAGGAAGCACAGCGTTCAAGCTGTGGGTTTTCCTGACGGACCTTTGTGAGAGGGAGCAGAAAGTGGATCTGTGAAAGGGTGGTACCAGAAATGGGAGTGACCCGGAAAGTGGCAGTTCTAGGACATCCTGCTCCAACAGGAGTCACTTGAGAACTGTTCTTCCAGGTTCAGTAACCCGAACCCTTGGTCACTGCTGCTCTACTCCCGGGCGGACGTCTGTGTCTCTAGCTGGAAGTATGACTTAGCACTGACATCCATGTAACATCACTTTTGCAGGCAGGCAGCTGCGAGGGTTACAGTCATTGAGGCTTTCACCGAGATTCTAGAATGACACCTACTCCAGGCTCCGTGCAGCAGTGATGTTTCCCTACTTAGAACTCCCGAGTAGATGGTTTAGGAAACCATAATGAAGGGTAAATTGCAGTGAAGATGAGAGGCTATCACAGCTGCCAAGACATGAGATGTCCACCGCGGACAACTTCAAGTACCAGGGAGGGCTGACTCAAGAAACAGGCTGCATGTGCCGCAGGTGTCAGAGCTGTAGAGGTGTGGGAGTGGAGCTACCCAGATGATTCCACCAGGAGCCCCAAACATCAGACGTGGGGCTGCAAAACTTGCAGTTTGCCTTGCTAGGCTCTATTCCTCTCTTTGAGAATGAGAAAGCTCACTCTGTGTTGTGACATATTTGAAACACAAGATGCTTTACAGTGGCATACACTGCAGAGTCTGCCTTGTGTCTCAGAAGAAACTTTGGATTCTGAACCACATTGCACCATGGTGGTGCTGTTTTGGGAGAGTTTGGGAAATTAGGCCTAGCTAGCAAACATAACAACCCAGTACAGGGGTGGAGGATTAGAACCTCAGTGTGGCTCGGCTCCAGTTTCCTGTTGCCAACATGATGTAAACAGCCCTCTCAACCTCCTGTTCTCAGAGCCTTGAGATGTTCCAGTTGCCGTGGCTTTTCCTCCATGATGTAACATTGCTTCTTGTCAGGAGCTTTCATTCTGCACTGAGAAGCAGCTGATGCAGCTCGAGGGAGACTGAAAATGAGCATCAGTCACACTTTTCCAATGGACAAGCAGGATGGGGAGTGTTCACCTTTCAGTGTCACACAAGGGAATTCCGTGTGTGAGGAGCCAGGTGCTTATGCCCTAAAGACATAATTTCCTTTTCCTTCTTTTGGGTCCACATAAGGCTACTGGCTTCTCACTTGAGAAAACACACAGCCTATCGCAGAGGTGCGGCAGAAATTCACTCTGGACCTGATATTTGATGACCCCCACATCTGTCTCTGTCATTTAGTGAAAGGACACCTTTGCCAAACTGCATCACATCATGAAATTTCTCCTGTGAGAACAACATGACCTAGCTGTGCATAGCATTGTTCCAGCCTTCGTGGTCCCCAGTGTAGCCTCTGACTGACTGACCTGAAAGTGAATGCGGAGGAGTAGGTCCCCTGGGTTTTGTCTTGTGATTTTTTTTTAAGTCACTGACATAGAGGGGATGCATTATAAAATATTTTATTTATTACTTTTATTTTTGTTTATGTGAGTGTATTGCCGACATGTAAGTGCTTTCATGCCATGCAATTCCCATGGAGGTCAGAAGATGGTATCCTCAGATCCCCTGGAACTGGAGTTACAGATGGTTGTAGGCTTACTTGTGGGCGCTTGGAACTGAGCCCAGGTCCTCTGCAAGAGCAGCCAGTGTTATTAACCACTGAGTCATCTCTCCAGCCCTGAGGGGATGCATTATAGACTGATTTACCTAATGTCTGAAACAGATATGGGAAAACATCTGCACTGATTACTTTAAGGTTTTCGCCCTGTACTAAAGCCTATGGCAATGTGCCAGTCCGTTGCAGGGCCTCTCTGATGATGGCGATGTCATCAGGCAGTGGCTATGGTAGAACTGTCTTTGCAATATCCATGGACCCGAGAGCAGGGGGTTGTTGCTCTTTCTGAGAGAACTCTCCTGCACTTTCAGAGCTTGTCTGGCTAGAGATCTGCCGCCGTCTCCGCACAGAGGTTTACAGTATCTATGTTTACCATCCAATGTGCTGTCCTTTGCTTGAGCAGTGTCCCTATAGGCTCATGTGTTTGAACACTTGATGTCCAGCTTGTGGTATGCCTGAGGAGGTTTCAGAACCTTTAGGAGTTGGAGCCTTGCTGGAGGGAATGGGGCAGGAGTTTGCAGGTTCTGCAGCCGGACCCCACTTCCTGTTCTCACTCTATCCCATTTTTGGATGAAATGTGATCACTCTGCCTCCTCACTGCCTGGTCAGCCTCATCTTCTCACTGTTTTCCCAGCCGTGACTGACTGTACCCAACCAAAAAACTCCTTCCCTTGCCAACTTGCTTTGGGGGGTATTTTGTTACAGCAATAGACAAGTAACTGATACCCAATGAAAATGTTGATTATTTTCAGCTCTATTTTTCTGATGTTATTTCTAAAATACTGATACAATGTGATTATTTGCTTTAAATTTTTTTCCCCCAACTTCTGATTTGTGAGACAGTGTTTTCAATCACACCACAGTCAGAGAAGAGGCAGGATACTGTGGGGATTTTTCCTCTGCCTCTTTATTGAATTAAATTATGATCAGCGCTAATTTACAAAGCGCTGGCATTTACCACGGAACAACTACAGAGCAGAAGCTAGCACAGTAAATCATCTGTGAAAACAGCTCACAACAAATAACAAGAAAAGACATCTGCAAAATGAGTCATTAGTCGTCGGAGTCTCTGAAGCTTTTCTGCTGCTATCTGAGCTAAAGTTCTGACAGAGAAATGTTATTTGGCCTTGACAATCCTTTTTCCATACACCAAATCAATATGCTCTGAGGAAATACTGCTAAGATGTGTGTGGGGGGGCTACTATATGAAAACACAATTCTGCATGACTTGTAAGTGAACTAAAGATTTTTAGCTTTTTCCTGTATTTTGTCAACACAAGGCAATTATGTATATTCATGTCACTAAATAGGGCACACTGCTATGTAAGTCTAAAGACAGACAGCAGGCAACTTTGTTTTGGTTGGGTCTTTGGTCTCATTGGTTTAAGAGTGGCTGTGTGAGCTAGCCAGCACATTCCACAAGTCTGTGGTGGGTTTAATAGCTGGACATGTACGGCATCATGGAAATCAATGTTCCACTCACTGCTACATTGACATATACCCTCGTCGGTGAGATTCAGAAACGAAACATCAAAAACAACAGCACTGCAGACAACGTCTGGACACAGACTTTGATTAGAGAAGTATTCTTAAGTATAAAGGATGTGCTTTAGATTAAATGTGAGCTATCTGTAGGCAGTAAATGGTATTAAAAATCTTTTAACATTGTACAGATCCTGCAAAAATCCAAGGAAGAAATCGGGTATATACTCCAAACTACTTTCATTTATTTTCTACTCTAAAAGACTCTAATAAACGCAGAATTCTATAATCTTAGTCAGAAAGATTTGATATTGTTATCCCCTCTTATCAGAAATAAATTATTTATAAAATGAAGTTTCAACAACAATATAGTTTAAGCCCAAGTGACTCATTTTGTATTTTCTTTTAATGATGAACCCTTGTTTTGGAGATTTTAAAAATGTATTTGATTATAAAGAAACATGATACTCACCTTATGCTCCATTTTTCATAGTAACAGAAAAACAACTTAAATCCCATGACATGTTTCCTGCTGCTTGAAGAGAGGGGACCCCTACCTGCTCCCGGCCTCAGTGTCAGTAACAAACGATCACCATCTTTTCCTGGGTTTCTATGTGCAGAAGATGATATCATCCCAGAGACAAATGGCTTAGAACAAAGTTCATATCATAAGAATTGGTGAGTAAGAACCTAATGTTTGCATTGAAGGATTTTCAGATACTTTCCACTGGTTTTATTACCGCAGGAAGCAGGTCTTCTGTTTGGCCGTCAGCATCTTCTGTTCCCGGGGCTGCTGAGTTGTGTAAACTATACTGTTTCTCTCTCTATTGGAAGCCAACCCTTGAATATGTTTCTATAAGTGAAATGAAGATTGGTTACACAATTGCACAGTGGCAGAAACATCAGCATTCAACAATTTAAGATCTCATAATTTATTTCTCCATTCTACAAAGAAAGGCCTCTGTGATTTCAGAAGCTACAAGCCGTCCAAGCTGGTATGATATTTTTCCTCCTTGATACATCAGAGCTGACTCAGAGTAATTTGCAGGGTGGCTGTTAGCATCCCTTCCCAACTCTGTGCTCTTGGTAGTGATGTCATCTTGGTAGGTGGAAATTAGATCAGCAAATACCCTTAGGGTGCTTGATTTCCTGCTTCAAAGTCAACTATTAACTATTTATGAACACTTCACTAATACTTAACACATAAGTTTATTTATAAAGTGAGAGGAGATTTCTGGTCTTAAATACTTCCAACTGAAATTTAAATGACACAAAATAAATATAGGTAATCATTTGGAAGTGTTTTTTGAGATAAAGTGAGTAGTGACCTCTTTGAAAAGGATGTATTTAAGTCTGGACACCAGCCTTGTGAAAGAAGGGACAGATCAGATGCAGAGGCCTGAGGTAAGACTGAGGAGCCACACCAGTGGTGGAAGTGAGAAGCGACTCAGGGATTATGAGTCAGAGAGACAGGTAAGCTCCTGCAGCAGCCTGCAGGCAAAGGAAGACATGGGTGAAAATTCTTCTGAGAGTGTTTTTAGGAGAGAAGTAACATAACGTGAGTTTGTTACATTCCTTTACCCTGTCCTTTAAAGAATGACATCCTTGTGTCAGAATCGATCAAGGGGAAGGACAGAAAGTATAATCTTCTGCTCAAAAGGCTCTGGAGGGTTGCAAAGCCCAGGGGATTGAACCACTGGGAATTCACAGGCTGAGTTCTTTGTAACTGTCCAACTGCCATTTGCGTATTGCACAGGAATAGAATCCAGATATTGTGGACATGTTTTATTCATGTGCATCGGCCTACTTTAGTCTGAGAGTTATACTGTGATAAGAATAAAAGCTGGAGTGTTGTTGTGAGTTTGGACACGGGAAAAGATTTGTATGCAGTATATTCAAGACAATCGCCTACAATGGCCTTCCTGGGGAAGGAAAGAAATTGAAACCCATAAGCTTAGAAATGAGGTGCCTCGGGGGGTGTCCATCCAGGAAAAAAAAATCCTTCTCTGAACAGGTCCACAGACAACTCACTTTGGGCAGGATGCACAGGGCCTGCAGTCCAGCTTCCGATATATCTAGTGAAATTTTCCTGTTCCATTAAACATATATTTTCTTATCACTCTTCAGCCTTTTGGCTCAGATCAAGTGGAAAAAACACTTTCTTCAAAGATTCATCATCTAGTCATTCCATTCATTTGAACTTGATTTATGAAATACTTACCTAACATTGCCAGGTTCATTTGATCAATTCTGGGTATTAGTACAGAAAGTTCTATCTGGTTCTTATCATGACAAAAACAATATATTATTAGTATGTTTTCCCTCCACTGATCATTAACATTGTTTGATGCTTTGATAATCAAACAACTTACCTAGCTGTCATAAATTGTCGGTCATTTGCAGAGACGCTTCTGGGAACATCCTGGAGGTTCGCAGTCATTTGCGATATTTAGCGGTGATTGCCAGTTCCAGACTGTTATGATGTACTTCAGTTGGATACAGATTTTTACGAAGGCTTCACGACTGCACCTTCATGACTTGGTGTGGCAAAAATTCTGATATCCCCAATTGTGAATTTAAAAAAGTCTTGTTGAGAGGGACTGACTATGGTTTCTGAACACTGTAAGGGTCATTCTCTGTGACCAGATAGATGGTACAGATGCTCTCCCTTGCATGGATACCAGTCTTCCCTGGTGTAGACAGATCTAGAAATGGAAACCACTGGGAGGCCACCAACCTCCCCATGATTTGCCACAATAGTGAGCCTGGGATCAAGGGACTGTTGAAGGCTCATGCCACTTTTTAGCTATTCACTATTGAAAATTGATGCAAAGATGATTTTTTTTCTCTCTGAGTCTTTGTTTTGACATATAACATCAAAATGGAAAATGGATGTTTGTGTTGCTTTTTTATTGCTTAATATGAATGCAACTAAGGAAAATAAAAATAATTGACATAAGTCATTTGTTGCTGTATTATTCCTGAAATTAAACCCAGGCAACTGTTGCTATTATTAATATTAACACATTTCAGATAGTACAGCACAGGCAAAAAATTTATAGTTCACACAAGTAATGTGTTATGGGGAGTCATCATATAACTCAAGAAATCTACTGAGGAACGCATTTTTCATTAGCGTATGATTCTAACTCATGCCACACTGAAGGGCAGAAATAAACTTAAAAATCATCTAAATACCATCTTCTCATGCAGAAAACACATAGAATAGAATTAGTGAGCAGCATGCTTCCTTACGTCCTTGAGTCTATTGACTGCCACGTGGCACGTGGGTAGCACAGTAGCATTCCTGGCATCGACACCGTTAGAACGCCCCGTTCTGATCTGACTCAGCAACACAAAGCAAGTGTACCGTGCTGCCTCTCTTGCCGATGTTGGGGTTCCTGCTCCCTCTACAATAAACCTTTCCCTCTTGAGTGGTTTGTATCAGACACTTTGTCATCGTATGGAAAACTGACCAGCTCATCTAACATGATTTCCCTCCCGATTTTGCTGTCTCCAAGGTGATATAAATGATTCCCTGAGAGTGACTTCCAAACAATCAAGATATATTTGATTCCTAGTATTATAATTCCACTTTTCTTATGTCAGATAATTCCTTCTAACTGCTGTAGCCCATTTTTCAAATACATGACACGAAGATAGAGCAAAGTAAAAAGAATGTGTTTGCGTCACCTTTGGTAATTATGGGATGTGTTGTCCAAGAAATCAGTAGAAACTATTAAATGATTATCTTTGCTAATATTTAGCCAGGAGCAGAATAATTCTGTGGAAGCAAACAACTAATATCCTAAAGTCAACTTCGGACTCTCGTTTTTAAGTGCATGTTATTAAATACATTCAACTGACTAGAGAATTGCAGAAGAGAGAAATTCAATTGTTAATACCACATTTTTTACATTATTAGTTTAAAATCATCCATCACACCTTAGCATTTGTAGGAGCCCACGTTTAAAACCTCAAAAATAACAGTCCAATAAGGCTTCCCTTATGTAACAATTGTAGACTGTTAATAAAAATAATTAGCAATGATATTACAACTACAAAATCAATAAACATTCTCAAATTCAGGATATATGCAACTAAGTTTGGCGAGCCTCATCTGGAGGTACAACTTGCTTTAATGTAGTATGAAGTTATTCACAGTCTTTGTTTGTCCTCTTTAGTTATTGTACTGATTATTTTATTAAAACTAGCAATAAGTCTACTATTGATTAGTGGATGTACCCAGACCATTGGGGATGTTCTGATACACAGAATTTGTGTATCAGTATATTACTCTAGTTTTAAAGGGCACTTCAGTATTCTGCAGCTCAGGGCACCTCTGATTAAGTCTACTGCTTTTTACTTCTTGTTTCTTCGGAGAAAGACAACCAAGATTATTATACTCAGCAGGTCGCCTTGAGGCTAAATCATACGGAAATTAAGTGAGCTGCATAATTCCCACAAAGTTGTCCTGTCCAACCTGTGTGACCATGTGCAAACAAGCTACACCTGTGTACTTCACAGCCTGCCTGTGATTGCACAGCTGTCTTCGTAACTGATGTGGACCGGTAACTAGGAGCTATGTGGGGTAGAAAGTGAGGGCTCAGCTGGATTCCGACTCTCAAACTGCAAGCCTCATTTGATCTACATTATACAGTTTAATGCCACGTTACGTTTCTTATGACTGACACATAAATGACATTCTTGACCTGTCTCTAAGATGAAACTCTCTGGACTGCATGTGACTCAGCACTACCTCTCTTAAAGCTGAGATTCCCAAGGATGGAGGAAGGGCACTTGAGAGTTGCATAGACCCTGGCTGTATTGGCTGGAGCAGAGCTCTGCCCCTGAATCACTCCTTCCTTTGATCATTGACTTTATAATTTCTGTTTCCTAGATGTTCTCCATGCCGTTTCATATTTCGTTAACTTACGTTTTTAAGGATAGTACAGTCTTTATTTTTCTGAAGCAATGTGTCATTAACCATTAATTTACCCCTTTTAAATTAAATTAGAGGCAAAAGGGCAACATTAACCTCAATACAAGTTGCAAGACTCTCTGAATGTCCTCACTTACAGCACACAGCTCATTGTTAACACTGTGATGCAGCTTGGTTTTGATTATCAGCTATGTAACAGTTGTATTTGCTTTTACTTGAATTTGTCACTAATTCCTATAGTGCAAGGATCTCGTTCAACTACTGAACATTTGAGAAACTCAAATGGACTTATAGAAAGGTATATAACTAAATTTTTTTCCCTCCCCCTTCTTGGGAGACTCCGGCTTGTGCCCTCTGAGGCCCCAGAGCTGACAGACTGACATAAGATGTCCTATTTGATTTTACATAGTTTATATGACATTTGGGAGGGGGTGGTTTACAAAGAAACACACCATTCAAGCCCTGCCCGTGGTCTCCAGCAGCTTTTGCACACTGTCCATGCGCTGCCTCACCCCACAGTCTAGAGCCTCATCTTACCCTGCAGAGCCCACCGGAGGGTCGGGATGCCCTGTTGCAGCCTGGCTTGGTTCTGAGTTCCAACATGGCCGAGGCTCCACCCCTTTCCCAGGGTACCCCACGTCGCCCACTCTTTTGGGGGGAATGAGCAAGATTCAAGCTACATTTTCCTTGAGAAATAATAATAATTTATTCTTGGACTTCTAGAGAATATGCTTTACATTTCCTTCAGGAATGATCTTTCTTTCTTTCTTTCTTTTTTTCTTTTTTTTCTTTTTTTTTTTTGGCCTTTTTTGAGACAGGGTCTCCATGTGGTCACAGCTGGCGTGGATTCACTATGGAAATCAGGCTGGTCTCGAACTCACAGAGATCCCACTGCCTCTGCCTCCCGAGTGCTGGGATTAAAGGCCAGGCTAAATGATCATTTCTTTTCCTTGAGGAAATGAAAGCATGTTACACAATATTGAGCTCAGAAAGGAGAAAAATGTTCATGCACCAAGCCTGGCTCTTACAATCTGTCTGAACAGACAATATTCAATAAAGTATAATTCTTTGAATTAAAAAATACTGTTCTCTGAAGATTTCATACATGTATACAATGTATATTTTCATATGCCACGGTTTACCCTCCTAAATACCACCAGGCCTCCCAAAACGTATTCTTTCAATTTATCTATTTTTTGTAACCCACTGAACCCAAAGAGTGGTGTCCGTATGGATGGGTGTGGCATCATCCACAGGGGCATGTGCAATCCACCAAGGTCACACTGCTCCTAAAAGTGGCTTTCGTCCCCCAGGAGCCATGTGTGCTAGTACATCCACGGCTGGCACAGTTACAGCCAGTTCTAAGCCAGGACTTTGGGATTCCCCTGCTATTTAGCCTTATTTCAGTTCATTAGTTCTTATAATTAATGATTCACTGACTATCAAATAATCTTCAGCAAGTCCCTGCGGGAATTTTCTTGTTATTGTTACCTCCTCATGGCAAGGATATTCCCTCCTGTAGTGTTAATGACGTTGCTAATTTCCCTTCTTTGTCTCCATTTCTTTCTGCACTGTGAAAGGACTGTAAGGCACCAATCCTTTGGGGAGTCTGTGGCCAGTTAAGAGTCCTGGAGGTGGAATCAATGAAATAAGGAATCCTGGGATCCTCTGCTTAGGTGTCTGGCTGTGTTTACTCTGGGAGAAAATAGCTGCTCTGTTCCAGGTTTGATTACTCCCATGGTGTGAGAAAACTTGAACCATTCATAGGAGAGGCTGTGTGGAAAGAGAGAAGTGATCCCCAGCCATCCCCACCGTTAATCATCCCTCTATGTGTAAAGAGATCATATTGGCGTGCTTAGAGTATAGCTCATATGGTATGGTGCTTGCCTAACATGAATGAAGCTCTTGGTTCTGTAAGAGTAACAAAAAGCCCCATAAGTTTAACTGGTCAAGACTAAAATCACGTTTCCAGCCTCACAGGTCAAACACCGGTGATAGAATCACCCCAGGAAGGCAGGTTCACCTTAAGTTATGCTAAATAGTTGGACAGAACACCTGGTGTGTTAATGAGGTATGGAATTTTTCCTGCCTGGAACCTTGCCTTGCAGCAGAACCCTGGACTTCTGACCAGCCCCAGTCAATGCAGGTCTCTGTAAGTCTGTCTGCCTTTCTTTCTTTCTTTCTTTCTTTCTTTCTTTCTTTCTTTCTTTCTTTCTTTCTTTCTCTCTTTCTTTTCTTTCTTTCCTTTCTTTCTCTCTCTCTCCCCTCCCCCTCCCTCCCTCCCTCCTTTCTTTTTTCTTTTCTTTCTTTCAGAAAGGTGTAATTCCCCTTTTCTTCCTCACGCCTTTCTTACCAAACGTGTTTTCTTTAAGGCTTTGGGCTGCCCCTAGTATTTTTTACTTCTTTACTTTTTCTCTAAAGCTTCCTTCGCTGTGTCTGACCTCCACGCAGGCTCTAAACCTGCCTGGCTCCATGGCCTTCTTTCCTTCTTCCCACCATTCACCTCCTCAGGGCAGCTGCCAAGATCACCAGCTCACCTGCCCTGATGATTTTTCTTTAAGACTCTAATAAAATTGTAAGAGCTTCCATTTGGATCCATTCTTAAATTCTTTCATGAATGAGACTGAGACTCCTCTAGGGGACCATCTATCTCCCCTTTCAATTCAGTTCCCAATACCTCACACAAACCTGGTGTGATGGCACATGTCTCCAATCCCAGCATCTGCAGCATATGAGTTTGAGGGCAGTTTGGGATACATAAAACCCAGTCTCAAAAATGGACATTCAGCTCAGTTTATTCCTCAGTTATGTCTAGGTCAGCTGCCATTT